TGTCCATGGGGCCTCCATGACCTTTCCTTGTACAGGTTTTGTTAGTTTCTCTGGGCACATATTTTGAAGAAGTTTCTGTATTGATGAGTCAAGACCCACAATTGTCCCTGTGTGAGGTTTTAGTACTCAGAAACCAAAGCAGCAATAGAAGAGAAGGCATAATGATCAACAGACCTTCCTTAAATAGGGAAGTTTTATTAGAATTTTGTAGATGACTACTTCAAATACTTCAAATATTTTGATAATGTCGTTATTCGACTCTGTTCCTAGTATTTATGTTTTGTTTTGTAATGGAAAACTTAACACATAAAAGAATAGTGTAATGAACCTTTGACCTTTGCTCCCCTGGTGTTACCCCTGGTGTACTTGCAGCCCAGCTTCCACAATTATGGTCAATCTTGTTTAATCTATACTCCACCCCTTCTACTGGATTATTTTAAAGCATGTCGCAGCCATCATATTTCATCTATAACACTTTAATACCCATTGTTGTCAGGTCAATTCCTGTGCTCATAGTGACCCTATAGGACAGAGTAGAACTGCTCCATAGGTTTCCAAGGAGCTCCTGGTGGATTCGAACTGTTGACCTTTTGGTTAGTAGCTGAACTCTTAACCACTACACCACCAGGGTTTCCAACACTTTAATGTGTATCACTAAGAGCAAACTTAAAAAAATATATATTGTTGCACCTAAAAATCATTTAAAATAATTCCAGAACCATATTTTAAATAGTACAGCTCAGATAAGTACAGTAGCACTTCGGAGAAAGGAAGGATTTTTTTAATAGAACTTGAACTGGGCCCAGAAGAATGGGTTGCATTTGGGCACCTAAAAAGAAAGAGTCCAGGGTAGGGAAGCAACGTGAATAATACCTTGGGAATTAAGAATGGAGAATATATGGGGAGTCATGACAAAATGACCTATGAAGTATATGATTTGAGATGGGAATAAGAAATGTGATCCTGGCTTTGGTACCTATGGCTGAATTTGTGGTGATGATTCTTTTTTGACAACATTTTATAAGAAAATTTTCAAACATGCAGGAAAGTTAAATAATTGCACAATGGACAAGTCTTATATCCACCACCTAGATTCTGCAATTAATGTTTCTCTATATTTACTTTATCACACAATCTGTGGGATGGCCCTGATTTTATTATCTATTTATCCTATTATTGTTAGAGAAGAAGAAGTATTCTTAGTTTGTATCATGTCATTATATTATTTGACGGGGAGCTTTAGTGATTCACTGAAACAAGGTTGCACTAGGATATGTGCTAAGTAGAACCAAGGAACAGCTGACTGGACTGAATGAGATTTGCTTCTCAAAATATGAATAAGGTTTTAAGCAAAATTCTTGATCTGCTTGAACTGTGATTTAAAGTACTTTAAGCGCTTGTGCATGCTATAATTTTCTAAATGTATAAGATTTTATACTTGGCATTTTTCATAATCCACATTGCTGCAGTTCCCAAATGAAGACATTTAGTGAGTCTGGACTCCTAAGCACTAGAAAGGATGAGAACGTGGGAATGGGAGGGGTATAGTTAATACCACCTTCACAGTTTCTGTTCCGTAAGGGAGTACGAAGTGAGTGGGGTAACCACAAATA